GCCTGGCTCCACATACCCGGGGGAGATGCATTTTTCTGCCCCCCCCCCTTGAATGTTTTTGTAGGGTCTTCGCTGTGGCCATTTGCACAGGGTCCTGCGGGCACTTGGTGCTTTGCGCCCGAGCCCTCACGCTGACCCCAGAGCGGGATTTCTCCAGCCAGCGCCCTCCTGCCTGGGCAGAAAGCCCCTGTCTCCAAGCTTGGACCGCCTAACGCATGAGGGGTGCCGGGGCGGGGGGATCGGTTCCCAGGGGGGAGCAGGCTCTGCTGGGGTCGACCGGACCAGTCCGAAGAGAGACGGCAGCCGCGACCTTTTTAACGCGTCCTGTACGGGGTCTGCAGGACTGAATTCAGCCCCGGAACAGGGGGGCTGGGAGTGAAATCAGTGAACTTCTTAAATTCAGTCCACGGCTGCCCTTTACTAAGGGAGGTGAGGGATGCCAGATGGGGGGAGGAGGGCCTGCAGCTCCCTGCATGTGATGCTTTGTTTCAGAAAGGCTGTGGCTGCCTGTCGGATGCTAAGCTCTGTGGCCTTTGCTGGACGTGCCCCTATATGAACGGCAGGGGGGGGGTCCAGTCACTGTCTGTTTTATAGAAAAGGTTCAATCTTCTTTTGGTCAAACTTTGTGCAGTACAGCAAACCTCAGCCTGCTGGATGGTGCCCGTTGGCCTACAGTGACGGGTGCTATAGAAAACACTGAGAGGCAGCAAATCTGGGCTTCCTTGGACTTGGCTTTGGGCTTTCAGCGTGTTCCATCGTTTCTGCCTTGGGGCAGTATTGACTAGCGCCCGCAGAAGCCTTTCTTTGCCAAAATAAGGTCCCCTCCGGAGAGGGAGCTAAAGGGTTAAAGTTGTGGTGGAGGGGGGAATCGTCATGGCTCAAAACCCTTGAAGAAGGTTCAGATCCTTTTCCCTTCTCTAACTCCTGGGCCTGAGGACGTCACGGATCCTTATTAATTGCACCTGCCTGTAACAGAACAGTTACTGTTTGAGATTTTTGATAGCATGGAGTCCTGCTCTCCAATACCTGCCCCATGTTACCATGCTCCTTGGGGAAATGATCATTGTGCATGTTGGCTCTCCAAAGTACACTCTGTATTTGAACAGAGAGTCCTGGGGCACCTTATAGACTAACAGATGTATTGGAGCATGAGCTTTCGTGGGTGAATGCCCACTTCGTCAGACGCGTGACCTGTGTATTTGAAGGCAGGATTGGGTGTGGAAAGTACTAGGGCAGCGTTCTTCCCCACCTAGTAATTGTTGAAAGACCAAGCTTCCTTCATCCCCAAAGCTAGCTGGCAAATTCTGCCCAGCGGTGCAGATCCTATCTGAGGCCGGGCGTGGTGAGGATCCCAGCCCTTTCCTCTGGTAATGAATTTCCTTTACAAGAGCAAGTGCTTTTATTACCACCTGCTGCTGAGCTGTGGCAATCACAGCAGGGGGTGAAATGACTAGATCAGCCTT